GGGGGGGGAGCGGTTTTTAGCCAAATAATTGAAAAAATAATCGTACAACTAATCAATTATGAAAATAATTGTTAGTTGCAGCCCTACTCCCTTTAGTGGTGCTACCTGCCCTGCTGCGAGACACCAGATAAGGACGTTCCTTCCTCTTTCTCCCTATCCTGTTGCATAACATCCTATTGAGATTTCCCTCCATTGTCTGAATAGAGTGTGTGCTGTTTATCTCTTAGCTGTTACCTCTTTTAGTCAGTCCAGCTCTCCGATTTCATACTTGTAGGTCTCCCTAAGGGAAATACTGCTTCATGTTCCACGGGAACACAAGAGATCATTTGCCTTTTCTATGACTTCTGGGGTAAGGTTCCATCAGCTCATGTTGGGCTCTGAAGTTTTTCAGGTGGTGCTGTATGTTTCTGTTGAGTCTCCTTTGTTATCCTGTAAGGTTCTGGGCCTGTTGGCTTGGATGCCATGTTGCCAACCTCTAAGTTGGACTGGTTTTGGATATCCTAATGGTCGAAGAATACCATTCTGTGTCCTGTGATGTATGAATATGAATTGGCAAATAGGATTTTGGTCTTGACTGTAAAATACTTTACTTGGACTATGTCACAGGACACGGGTCCCTCCCCTCTGTCTCTTAATCCCCTCCTATTTGCTACAACACAGACTTTCTGGGAGTGCAAGAGATTATACTTGGCTGTCCTTTTAGCTTTGCTTTGCCAGCGTCTAGTCCCCTGAAGGTGGCAGTATAACCGGTGATCTAAGACAAAAATCCTATTTTGTTGAGCTGGATGGTGCCAGCATGACTACCCATGGATTCAATTTCAGACAATTCAGCAGGAAATGGCCAAAATGTTGTGTATGGTCCGCTTTAGTTGTTGAATTTTGACAAATGTGCTGAACTAATTTTAAGGCAAGGCTGTCACCGTAGTACTTATGAGACCTTTTGTGCTCAGCCTATAGCTGGACAGTAAGGACGACAAGACTGGAAAGCAAACCCAGCTCAGAAGTGATTGCTAAAGCCTAGAATGGCCAAATAATTGTGCACTTTTCATTTTAGGACTGGTTTTTTTTTTTTTTGTTTTTTTTTTTAATCAGTAGTTTATTATCCTCTGCAGGCTTTGTGTACACATGTGCCAGAGATGATCCGCACAATCATCAATTGGACCATGGACTACCTCAGGGAGCATGTTGTCCAGTGGATCCGTGATCAAGGAGGCTGGGTGAGTTATTTTTCACTTGCATAGACAGTTAATGGTGCCATTGTTTGAAAACACAATTGAACCCTGCCAAATAAATGAAGGATTCCAATTAGCAGTAGGAGCCAGTCACATTGGTCTGCTGGAAACCTGTGACAAAGGGATTTCTTAGAATTTTTAAAGCTCAGCTCTGGCTGGTCAAAAAAAAAAATATAGGCGGGTGTCCCCCACCTCCCCAGCAGGATATAATGCAGGTTTTGTCAAGGGGGATCTAATAGAACGGAATAATTGCCTTATTCCATGGTCCCGTATGCTTCCTCCCCTCTGCTTCCGGTAGTGATGACTGATCTCCAGAAACCACATATCTTTTTTGGTTATGTCACCACTCCTTTCATGCTAATCATCATGTGCAAAGTAGGGCCACTCCTGATCCCGAATTGGAAGAGGACATTGCATCACTTGCTTGCTGCCTGAAACGGCTAGGTGTTGCTTCTCTTTTACCTCATGACTGAGATTTTGCTGTGTTTCTGCCAGTGACCGAGGTTTTGCATTAGGGTAAGTTACCAAGCCCCTGTGTGGTAGCATTTTGAAGGTGACAGGTTCTCTTTATTGAACCTGTCAGCTCCAATACAGGGGAGGCACTCCTGTGGTTGCTGAGAAATGCAGCTGAGATGGGAAGGCTGCGAGTGCAGCCTTCCTGTGTAAGTGTTCACACGGAACAGAGCGGTGAACGCATGCTCCCAGCTCTGCATCCTGGACTACTTCGCCTTGGGCCCAGGTCCCCCTGAAGAGCGGGGACCCCGAAAACCACTGCGGGGAGAAAGGTGGGGGTGGGGTTGTACAAGTGAGATCACTTGTACAAAACGAGTGGCGGCTTCCCCAATGTTATGTTAAAAAACATTTATGCATGCCCATATTTTTGGTAAAATATACTGTAAAAGGCGGGGTCACGTCTGGTAAATAGACACCAAACATGTCAAACTTTAAAATTGCGTGCGGCCGCAAAATCGCAAAAAAAATACTATACCCAAAATTTACCATAGGCGACGCTTTAAAAGCTTTTACTGCTCATCGGTTTAGTATTGGTAATTAATAGCCCTAAAACTATTGCCCTCACTCTGACTTTCATGGTGATATGTAACGTGTGGTGCCATGGGCGCAATCGCCATTTTCACACAATTCACCCGACGCATGTTTATGTGGGGGCAGGGGACGTAAAGAAGAAAAAAAATGTTTGTGGTTTTTTTTAAATTTGACTTTACATTTTATTTTTGGTAACTAATTTAAATAAAAAAAATAAAATTTCACTTAAACTTTATTGCCATCACATACGGGACTAAGAAGCCCCTATGTGATAGCCTATTTACAAAGACATGTCCTCTTTATGAAGACATCAGAGGCCTCTAGGACCAAAAGAAGCTGATGAAGCAGGGATCTGCTTCACCAGCTACAGAAGCTGGAGAATGACAGCTGAATGCGGAAGTGATGTAATATACATTGCTTCTACATTCAGAGAACGAGGAGCAGATAAGAGGGAGATCATGTGATGGTCGAGCGCTGCGGGAGGAGAGCGATGTGAGCGGCCGGTGTCTCTCCTCCCACACAGCTCAGCCGCCTATCGCAGTCCGGTAGAGCGGTGTGGGGGCGGGGACAGCACGCGCTGTCACAGGAGGCTGAGCTCTCCTCTCTGCTCGCTCAGCTTCCTGTGACAGCGTGTCAGAGGAGAGCAAGTGCAAACACTCAGTGATCGCTGATGTTTGTAGATAATTGAGGACATGGTATGGTTACTATATCCTCAATAATGAATGAATGGGAAGTTTTCTATATCCCCTCCTGTTCTTTCTTAGTTGTACTTATAGTAAACAAACAATGTTCTCAAGTTATCAATGAACAGGAACACTCATAGAGGATTCCTGTTCATTGATAACAGGGGATACAGAAAGAGATTGGGGACTTTGTGTTCTCAATCTCTTTTTCTATTTTATATCAGGGGGTCTGTTTAGACCCCTGATATTTCCCCAAAGCCCCTAAAAGTAAAGTAAACAATAAAAATATTTAGTAAATGAATTATTAAATAATATAACAAAATTTAAAAGTTTATAAAAAATAAATAACATTTTAATATTTTTAAAATGTGAACAAATTAAAATAAAAATATTTTCGGTTTCGGCCTGTCAATTTTTTTTATTTCGGTTTTTACATTTTCTATTTCGGCGCACCTCTACTTTGCACGGTTTCGATCCTGTGCAGTTTTCTTGTCCGAAAAACAGAATAAGCTGCTACTGGAGCATGATGCAGATTGTACTGTTTGACTGTTACATCTGTGATCACCTTTACACTTCATCAAATGGTAACAGTTCATTGTTCCAGGAATGCTTCAATGATGACGTGTTCTTTTTCCAAATCCAGAGCTGCCTGATAAGAGAATTCTCATACTTATCTAGATGCCTCCATGAGTGCAACACACTGCCAGTAGGCCTTAGATCAAGCCCAGAACACAGTGCCATGTTTTCACAGTTGCCTTAGAAAATGCCCTGTGTTGAAGTCCATTAGAACAGCTGGACATTGGCCTACTGAACCAGTTTCCTCTGCTATCCCTGAAAATTGTTGATCCTTACTATCTTTGATCCCATGTTTCTGACTACTAGCAGTGTGAAAAGTAGGGGCGTAAAGCTAGCCAAACACGTTTTGGAACGTTCATCTGAGTTTTTTATTTCTAGTTAATGGGGTCAAATGGACTATCGTTTTCGACCACAGTGACGAATAAAATGGAAGGAGCAAGATGGAAAATGTTTCACTAGTGTAACTCTAAACAGTGAATGCGGTTGCTAAGCTCCATTTATTCCTAAATTGAATGTTAAAGTCAAACAATTTTTGAATGAAATTCGTCAAATCTTTGACATTATTTAATAATCTGATGAGATTTTTTTTTATACGAACATTCGTACGAAACTCTATGAATGTATAGAAAGTGTAAATGGCTTATAAGGAAAGTTTGTTCTTATATATTTTTTATTTTTTTGCAGGAGGGGCTTCTGTCTTACTTTGGCACACCAACCTGGCAAACTATTGGAGTCTTCTTAGCTGGCGTGCTCACTGCCACTGTGGCCATCTGGAGATACTCTTGAGACTTCCATTGCATTTATGAGCGCAGCTTCCTGTAGCTGCATCTTCTTTCAGAAGCACATCTGTATTCCAATTCACTCCAGCACTGACAACAAGGCTACAGAACAAGTGCTTCCACTGGGAAATCCTCATCATCACCCCAGCGTTATATGGCTAACCACTTTGGCCAGTCTTTGGGGATCACTTGTTTTAGTTTTCTTAACTACTTTTTTATTATAAGTCGTGCCTTTTTAATATATACATTACGATGGATTTTAAGAGGCTTTTTTGATTTAATACTTGAATAAGTACCCTTAGTTTTTGTTCTCAATTTTTTTTTCTTAATGTGAACTGTCAAAGCAGGGCAAAAGATGCTCCATCATGCACATGGCTCTTGTGGAAAAGTATTTTTTTTTTATTATGTGAAATATGTCAGCATTGCAGAGTTTGCACCTAGGAAGAAAAAAATGTTCCGTTATTTAAAGGGAAAATGGTTACCATCTCTAATCTGTAAAAGCAGCATGAAAAGTCTGGCTGTACTGTAGAAGCCCTTGAAAGTAGCCTTTTCCTTTTTTGACTGCTGAGATTAAAAACCACTCATTGGTAGTAGATTTTTACTTGGAAACATGACATGCTGCTTTGAAAGAATGTTGTCATCGCCAAATGTAAACCTGGCCAGCATGTATAAAATATTTTATAGTGGGTTTTTTTTGTGGTTTTTTTTTTTTTTTTTAAGAGAGTTTTTGTTTGTTTTTATTGTGGGTTTTTTTTGGTGTTTTTTTTTTTTTTTTAAAGAGAGTTTTTGTATGTATTTATTTCAACAGTGTCCTTCTTCTTCTTTTTTTTTTTTTCTTCTTTGGAACACAATGGTTACTACAAAAATGAAATGCTGAAAAGTTTGCTGACCCTAAAAATGTATAACCAAAACCCAGTCAGTTCATGTTGGTCACATCTCTGTCTTTTCAACCTGCCGTTTTTACCAAATACTTAATTCGATGTTTGCGTTCATGTGGTAAAGAGTTGCTTTTTGTTTTCTTGTGGCTGTAAGACCTAGATAAAAGTATTTTGAAACAAAAAAAACTCTCCTAGAGTCACTGCTGAGTATTTAATACAACGATCAGCATTTACAGACCTCACAATGCCACCCACTGGAGAATTATGGTATATCTGCACCTTCTGAAAGCCTATCTCTGGGGAGTGGGAATAAAACTACCCCTGCCGTGGGTCTACCTGTGCACTGCACTGCTTATTTTTGCCTACGGGTATGGTGTAAAAGACTTTCACTTTCTGATCTTCACTCCCACAAGCTCCAAGACCAGCTCCTGTAGCATGTCCCCCACCCCCATACGTCATCATGGACAATGCAGGGCCTATAGCACTGCATTGTTTGCGAGGACACCGAGGGACAGTACCCAAGCCGAAATGTAGGGCAGGCAGTTGAGTGCCAACTGCCAGGGATATGGGGATCAGCGAATCAAAAGACCTCTACACCATACCCTTAGGCAAAAACAAGCAATTAACACCTGCAGTGTGAAAGCCCCACTGCAAGGGTGGTCTTTTCTTTCCCCCAGAGATGGGCTTTAAATAAGATTCCCAATGGCAGGTTTTTGAAAAATTTAGCTTCACCCTTATTTTGTAAATTACTTGATATCTGAACTACACCTTGAATGTCGAGAGGCAGATATTACTTGCTAATTGACATTCGTTACCTCTCCAACTACTTGACCTCACACACTCTCCCAACACCTGAGAGCGCATACTGTAAGTTTAAAAATAAAAAAGACCTTTTGTCGTTAATAGGAATGTAGACATATAGGCTTTATTTGGCTATCTTATGTACTTGATGTTTGGAAGACAATATATATGGCCAGATGACAGGTAGCTAGGGTCAGACTCAATATGACCTCTAACACTCTAGCAGAGGATGGATTCATTTAGGGGCCAAATCCTATTTATTGGGAGTCCTGGGGTAATTGTAAAAGCTGAATTGCAGCATGTTTCCAAATAACACCTTTAATAATATTTAAGTAACGTAGTTTAATACTGGTATACTCTCCCCTCAAATCTGGGAAGGCCATACTGAAAAAATTGCTTGAGCCCTTGCGGGACAACTAATGTCTAACATTGCAATTTTTTTAGCCTTGATATAGATGGCAAAAAACAGCCTGAACTACTCAAATGGATAATTAGGAAAAATGTAGCATTTGTGACTAAACAGTCCTGATTCATATTTAATATAATTCTCTAACATTCTTTGTAGCCCTCAAACAATTTAAGGGGGTTGTGTGCAGCCTAATAATGTAGCGGTTTGATATGCCTGTCCTTGTTAAAATCATTGTATTTTTGCTGTAAGATTTCAGTTCCTAAAGTAGCTTTTTTTTATTAACATATATAATTAAAATGGCAGTTTCTTTTTTTTTTTTTCTTTTTTCCATGCTGAGAGTATTAACTCTGCTGTGAGTGTACCCAGTCAGCAGAATCTGGGTAGCTTTGTTCCTTCTCAGAAAACACCATTTATAAAACTAACTACTGTTGAATGATGCCCATTCATTGGACATGTACTTTAAAATGGACTTTAGCAGACCAAGAAATTTGAAGCCAACTACAGCAAACACATTTTAAACTGTTACAGCAACAGTTAAATGGTTTAAAAATAGAACTCTGGTAGGGGTTATATATATATATATTGTTACATGGTTTGCCTAAACCCTTGTAACTAAAGCAGGTTATACATGGTTAGAATTTCGAATGAACGAAATCCATTTCAAAACGTTAGTTTGGTTTTTTAATTCGTTGAGGTCAAAATGACAATCTATTTCAAACGCAGTGACGAAAAATTCGAAGGAGCATGTTGGAAAGTTTTTTTTTTTTTTTTTTCTCGATCAAATTATTAACGGTGAATGAGGTTTTCATTCAGAAACTCCATTCATTCCAAAATAGAATGTTTGAAACTTTGTCTATTTTTCATTTGTATCTAAGACTGTCGGCAAGTTTCTGATGCCAGTATTGAACGTTCATGAGAAAATCTCCCCATGTATATCTAAAACATTTGCTGGGCAGATTTGCCTGTTACATGAAGTGGATCTACTTACAGGATCAACAGATAATAAAGCTATGTTACAGGGGTGACTCATTTGTGCAGTTTTTGCCCATAGTTGCGCTTTATCTGCACCCAATCAAAATGCAGTTCTTTTCTAGCATTACGCCAGTAGTTGATGGAGTCTGACTGATGGGGGTTACTGTATAATTAGAAGCTCTTTTTACTGAATATAGATGTTTTTTTAAAATTATGTAAAATGTGTTTCTATTGACAGTATATATCACATGTCAAGTTGTTATTTTGCCTATAGTTACACTTTAAGAATTAGCACTGTTATTGAAGAAGGCAGCAAATGTTACAAACAAGACGTGTTTTTTTTTTTTTTTGTTCTCACTTTCACCGGTTAGATTTAAACCTGCCCTGTAATACTGTTGGGGTGTGAAATTTTGGATCTGACTAGAGGCCGCAGAGAAGTAAGGATGATTGTTGGCAAACTCATTTTCATGCTTAATGCCAGTGGCAGTTATGGTTTAAAATACCCAAATCCTCACACTTTCATCTTAAGGGCCTGTTCACAATGTGTATTGACTGATATTTTTCTGCTCTTCGCCACCAGTCAAATTCTTGCATACGCCTAGTCATTACTGGTTCTCTTTAAAGGCTGTCCTTGTTTTTGAAGGTGAAACCTCCAGGGCTCTCATCCTTTTTTTCCTTCATTGCTGTGTGATTTACTGTACAGGAGAAGCATGCAGCTACTGAATTGTCGGGGCTCCAGATGTACAACATACCTAAAGTATATGTTAACCCGAACAATGAACGTTTCTTAGTTGTCCCTGTTTGGTCTGTTAAATATACTTTTGAAAGTGTTTGATAAAGGCAAATTATCTGTTGATCCTACTAGAATTGTTGTGCTGTCCTGTGTACACTGCAGTGTTATCGGCCCTACCCAGTTCTTCTTGTGAGCTGCAGTTCACCCCCTATATTTTGCAGAGAGGGGGAGGTTTTGTAGTCCTTACAACCACTTCTTTGTTGACAGTGCTGCTCCTTCATACAGTGAGTGTCATCCTAGGTAAGGACCTGTGTTACTGGCATAATCAGCAGATGGAAGTAATTTCAATGGGAACTTTTTGAGGTACAAACTCTGATAAAAAAAAGCCCTCTACAATAGAGCTTTTATACTGTCCTCACCGGTGGGAGTGTCTTACCTTCCCTCTTGTTTAGCTCTGCAGCCTCAATAGGTCTCTTCGGCATTTGGCACATCCGGGAGTGTCCAATGCCTGTGTCACCCGCCATAGTTCTATCCCCCTGACCCCTAGTTCACTTCTGAGTCCTGTGGGGATGTATGGGCCAAAGGATGGATAGACACAGCCCACCATAGGGGACACTGGCACTTGACACTTCCAACAGTGCTATGGAGGCTGTAGCACAGCAAGAGAGGGAAGGTGGTAAATACAAGCTACTGAGTATAAAAGCTCTTCTGTTGCAGGGCCTTTTTCCTCTGAAATATATTTTTTCATCTGCTAGGGAAGCTTTAGGGGTCTGTCAAGGACATCAAGCAGTGAAGAAAGGTTACCCCCTTGAGTGCTGGGCACTGCTGGCTGTTCCAGTTCTTGGACTCTGTAGCTCCTACACTGCCACCACGTGAAAGTAAAGACATTTTAATTTTTAATGAATGTAAACTTACTCATCTTAATGCTCTGTTAACAATTTACAAAAACATTTTTCCCCCCTGAGTGCATCTCAGTGTAGCGTCACAAGGGGAATAAAGTTCTCCTCAGGTAACATACATTTACTTTGAGCTACTCCACTTCAGTACATAAAAGTTGCACTAATGTCATATTTAATGAGCAGACTTTATTGAATATATTTTGCAGCAAATTACGTAAATGTAGCATTGGGAAGCATTACAGGTGAAAAATGTTTTTACTATTTATTCCCAAGAAAAACCAAGAAAAGAAATGTGATCATTGCTACCAGATTCAAGTCCAATCTGTCCCCCCAAAAACTATTATCAAAGGTTAGACTACAAAACCGAAAATATAATATGGGAAAGATATAATGGAAAAAAACCCCCACTGATTTAGGAAGGAAAAGGCCTGGGGACTCAAGTAGATAAGGGAGAAAGGCCCAGAATTTGTACCCTCATATACTAATCCATAATGACATCTCTTATATATTTTTATTTTAAAAGGAGTTAATTTGAGTTACTATTCAAAGTTCAAAAACAAACTACAATAGACAATCAGAAGGTTGTTAGATAAAAAAGCAGG